GGGGTGGTTAACCAATGTCATAAAACAACATGTGTACTACTGTTTCATGAGAAACTATTTGTTCTGTAAGCCTTCACCTGAAGTACAATAAAATAAAAATAAAAAAATAAAAAATAACGCCAGGCTCCAGGTGATCCTGGGATGCAGCAGCAGCAGTTCCCAGGTGCTATTTTATCCTCACAACCATCTAGGTAGATACCATTATACCCTCACTCTAAAGAGGAGGAAACTGAGTCACAGAGAAGTGAAGTGATGTGCATAAGGCCAACAGCTGGGATTCAAGCCCGGCTCACAGCGGTGAGTGGATTTGGTCCCTCCTAAAGATCAGAGGAATAACGATTTCTAGAAATTCCTTCCAGATTTCAACTCCCACCACTTGGAACATCAGGGCTGGACACCTTCAACTGCATCAACTGGTTAGAGAACTAAGAAGCTTCCAGTGGGCTGCTGACTTCTGTAACTAAGCTTAATTATTTAATGAAAAGTAAGAGCCAAACAACGTGCTGTCTTCCTTGAACATGTGCCCACACTGAGTTAAATACAGTGACCGTGGGAGAAGGGGAAAGGTTACATCCACGCAACATCAACGTGTAACAAGCCGTTTTCCATGACTAGTTTCAGGACGTGACACTGCATTCTTAACGATAAAAACTCGAAGTATATTACCTGAAGTTTCACAGAACTATACACTAAATGCATCTGATACAGGACTATTAATAAAGGCATAATATGAATTATATAAATTGTATATCATTCATAATTTACAGCTGAAAAGCATGAAATGTCTACAAACAGCAAATCAGTAAGTTTTGTTAATTAAATCAAATCAATCTGTTTCATTAAATAAGTGGTTTTAGTTTAGTTCTAGGCCTCTGCATTTTTCTGGTTTTCCACAGGACTGAATGTCAAGCAATACTGTTTTGTCAGATACTAGGTATGTCTGGTGACTAACTCCTAATTTATAAATTAGGCAATTAAAACAATAAAAAGCTGTATTGATTCTTTCAAGTAATAAGGATTCAATTTGCCACAACGACATTTATGTAGAAGATTGTTTCTACCATGCATCCTTCGACGCTTCCATGAGACTTAAACGAAAACACTAGTAAAACTAAGAGGGCAGAGGTCACCCTGTAAGGGACCAGGAATCTACACTTTTGTAAAAGCTTACGTTTCTTCAATAACTTAACGTCATTTGCAATTGATGATGGCAGTAATAATGATAATCAAAAGGTAAGGAGCTGACATTTACTGAGAGAGTACTATGTGCCAGGCCCTGTACTAAGCCTTTGTACGTGGCTTATCCCACTGATTTCTAATAACAATCCTACAATACAACTCTCATTTTACCGATGGAAAAACTAACTACTATGACCTAGCAAGAAAGCAGCACAACCAGGATTCAAACTCAGGCTTCCACGAGCCTTGAGTTCAGTTCTTAACCTCTCATTAGCATGTCTTGATAAAAAGCATGCCGTGTACGCACGCACAGACCCTGTGGAAAGAAACATGGTCTACTCAAATCCCGTTCCTACCACCTTATGAAATGTCAGGAAAATCTAAAGCAACTTTAACTTTAGATCTGTAAATTCTTTACTTTTAGACATCCATATTTGGGAGTAAGCTACAGGATACAAAACAAGTTAAGTAAAATGTCTCCTTCAGAAAAAAAAAAAAAGGGGGGAGTTATATATTCTTTTTCTACTCTGGGACATTCCAGAGGCCTTAGCAACAGGAACAGAGTGTGGACTGTTGTGGCAACAGAAAGAAATGAAAGAATTTGTGTGAGATAGTATATGTGTTTCTGAATATTTGCAAAGTATAAATTCACAATGAGCCCATCTACAAATTAACATACGCTACTTGCCCAAATGCAGGAAAAAGCTTGATTTACCACAGAAAATAAAATATCAAGCTAATAAAAATGGGTTCCTACTGCATTAATAACGTTTACAAAATAAGTATGCAACTCAAACCACTGTACTGAAAATGAAAACTTCTAAAATTCTACCTGAACTCATGGATTCTCAACTAATTTGAAAGAATGAATTTTATTGTTGTATAAGCCCTAAATCTTTCTCAGGATTTGGGTCACCCCATCTTTCAATTAGCAAGTGGCCAGCACCCACCTAGGCCATCGTGCACTCTGGCACACAAGGAAGGAGTGAGTGTACGCACACATGGCAGCGCATGTCTGACGCAGAAACTCCACAGCCAAGTGCAGGATGAAGCCCTCTCCCAGAAACAGGCCCTAGAAACGGTGGCAAACGTACTCCATTACTGTGGTGTTGCTGTTCTGAGGACTGGGCAACAAAAACCAACCAAACACGTGTGTTTAACAAAGCATTTAACCTTTGCAGGACCCTGTGCGTTTCCCGCCTCCCACGCGCCCCAAACTCCTGCACGCCACTGACTCCCACATTTCTTTCTCCAGCACAGACACACCGCTCCGGAGCTGTCTGGACTCACACACCCACTGCCTATTAGCTATCACCATCTGGACATCTTACGCGCGTCTCAAATCAAACAAAAAATGTCCAAAAGAACTTGGCTTTCCACCCTGCCGTGGTCCCCCTGCCCTCACAGCCTTCCCTCTTTTGGATAATGCCACAACCCGTCCCCCCACTCACTCAAACTAAAAACCCAGGGGTCATCTCTGACGTTTCTGTCCCTCATCACAACCAGCCAACCAGCGGGTCTTGTCAGCTCCACGTCCCCCCACTGCCACAGCTGCCACCATAGGGCCTGTCACCAGCACCTTTCCACCAGACTATGGATGCAGCCTCCTAGGTGGTCTACGATCCCTGCCACATGACTCCCAGACTGGTGCTTTAAAATCCTCCACCAGATCACACTGTTCCCCCTTCTTACAATTCTCCAGTGGCTTCCGACTCCCCCCACCCCGGCCCTGCCCCTTCTCTCCCTGGCTCATCTGCTCCAGGCACGCTGACCTCCTTCGTCTGCTCGGGCACAGAAAGCTCCTTCCCCACCAGGCTCTGCCCCTGCTCCTGTGCCCGGTGCACCCTCACACTTCAGGTCTCCGCTCCAAGAGCTGCTCCGCC